GGAACCTCATGAATGTTAATAAGGGGAAATGCAAAGTCCTGAAGAAGACTGTGAAGAAGAATAAACTCAGGTATCATATACACTAGGAGTCAGCCTGCTGGAAAGCAGCTCTGCAGAGAAGGCCTTTGGGGTCCCGGTGGACAACAAGCTGATCACAAACCAGCAGTGCACCTTCAGAGAAACAAAGGCCAACACCATCCTGGGCTATGAACAGCAACGCCTGTAGGTCAAAGGAATTGATCCTTCCCCTCTATTCAGCACTGGTGTGGCCACAGTTCGGAGCACTGCATGACCAGGTCTGGGCTCCCAAGTACAAGAGAGACATGGACTTAATGGAATGAGTCCAGCCCAAAGACGATTAAGGGACTGAAGCATCTCTTGTATGAGGAGAGGCTGAAACTCTACAGCCTGGAGAGGAAAAAGCTCAGGCTCATCAATGGGCATAATGGGTTGGGGGGGTATAGTTCAGTGGCAGAGCATCGTCCGTACTCATCATGAGGGAAGTCGTACTAGAAGAACTTTAAAGGTCCCTTCCAACCCAAACTATTCTATAATTCTATAAATACTTGATGCGAGGGAACAAGGATGAGGGAGCCAGACTTTCCAGTATTGGTCAGCACCAGGTCAAGTTGCAATGGGCACAAAGAAAAACACAGGAGAGTCCATCTGAACACAAGATGACACTTTTTTACTGTGCGAGTGGTCAAATACTGGCACAGGTTGCCCAGAAAGGCTCTGGAATATCCACCTGTGGCAGTATTAAAAATCTAATGACCACAGTTCTGGACAACTGGTTCTAGCTTACACTGCTTGAGCATGGGGGTTAGTCTAAATGATCTCAAGAGTTTCCTTTCAAATGACATGATTCTGTGATTCTCTTGACATACATTAAGATTAGAAACAGTTTTTCCCAAGTGCAAGGCAATGGTCCCTAGTACCAGGGGATCGGTTGCCAGAACAGAGACTTTCCAACCTGCCTATCTGACATAGGCATATGAATGAATAAGTGAAGTTGATGAGTCAAGGATATCCTAAAAGCAGAAAAGGGTGTTTTCAGATAAACCCCTGGGCTATTGTCCCTCCTTATATTAAAAGGAGATTGGTAAGGACATGCTTGGAAGAGTTCTATTACTGAGTGGATAATTATATAAGTTGTATACTGTACTACTGCAATTTTAATAGGGAACACACTGTCAACACCATCTTTATAGGCAGCAGACTACAATCCCCAGGCAAGATAAAATCTGCTTTTTTTACCAAGTTTCTGCAGGCATTGTGGAGCAAGCTGACTTGGAAACTGCTGCCTAGTGCCTAGAGGAAGATAATTCTCACAGCTTGCTTCACAGGCCTGGTTGGAAGTCAGCTGAAACTTGGGAGGAACCAGAAGCAGATGACTTGCTGATTTGTGTTACCTTGTCTCTTTGCTTTATGCTTTTGCCTTGTTAGCAAGGTAGCAGGTTTTAAAATCATACCTAACTTATTTTCCAAGACCTTGAGAAACTATGATTTTGATACTGTGGGTTTTGGCATGGCTGAAAAAAACCCAGGAAAATGCTTGATATTTCAATTCCAAAATGTTATCTCTGCATAATCTAGAGTATGAATTTATAAAAGGCCAGCTGTTACATGTTATGCAACTCTAACCCAATATTTAATTGAATTTAAGGAATTTTGCACTCAGTAGGGGGATATAAACTGAGAATTACCCATACAGACAGGCTTTACAGCAGAACAGCCCATACCCTACATTATCACTTATAATTTAATTAAACAAATAATTGCTGCCAGAATATTGCAATACTTGTCAGATCATTCATCATCTGCTGTTTTGTCAGCAATGATATAAAAATTAGCCAACAACCATCATTACTTGTGTATATTTAGCAGGAGGTTAATTTCAACCAATCAAAAGGGATTTCATAATTAAAATATTTAAAGATGTGCAGGCATCCTGACACTTCAAAAATTCTAAAATTATGTGCATGGGAAAGGTAAGAGAGTGTACATACAAGTGATGAGGTATTCTCTTTATACATAAAAATAGAGCTGAAAAGCTGAAGATTTATGTAAATGGATTAGGAAAGCTGTAGATTTCTCTCCCATTTGCTTTGTTTGCAGATTTTACAGTGCCTTGATGTTACAGCAGTAAACCAGGATGACTGTGTTTAGCCTATTTACCTTCTCTTGCAAGGACAAATCCATATTAACCATCTCTACACAAGGAAGAACAGCACAAAAGACCACTGCAGCAAAGTATCAATGTAAGGGTTGGATGATTTAATACAAACTGTGTTGTCTGGCAGGAACTTGCAGTATCTGGAGCTGCACTTCCTAGTTTTGGCATGGCAGAGAATATACTGCCCTGTTCTCAAAAACTCATATAACTTTATTATGAAATGCCAATATCAGAACAATCTGCCAACCACAGTTTTAAAACCACAGTATTTACAAAGTGATGTAAGATGAATTCCACTTCGATTTCAGATTCACAATATACAAGAAGGCTTCTTATATTGTCTGCTTTTAAGGCAACAAAATATTTTTAGGTTATGATAGTTCTCTACATACACAATGTGTCCTAGAAGAAACAGTATGAAACTTAACATATTCTCCAAGCTCTGCAAAATGCCACTCCCCGCTCTGTAATATGCTACCTACTAAGAAATAGGCTTTAAAATACCTGGTGATAGAGAGAGGGTGACAAGAAACATAGAATGAGAGACAGACTTTCTTCATAATTACTTTCACTATAAAACATGCAAAGACATCAACAAAGTAATATTGATTGCAGCATCACTAATTCACTAATATCACAATATATCACAATGTGACTAATAGGTTGCCCAGAGAAGCTGTGGATGTCCCATCCCTGGCGGTGTTCAAGGCCAGGTTGGATGGGGCCTTGAGCAACCTGCTTTAGTGGGGGGTGTCCCTGCCCATGGCAGGTTAGAAATAGATGATATCTAAGGTCCCTTCAAACTCAAACCCTTCATGATTCTATGATTGTAATTCCCCCATGACTTTTACTCCCAAGATCTTTCATATTTTACCACCCCATCCCAAAGGAGATGGTAGTAAAAAAAACATGAAGAGGAAATCAACAGCTCCTAAGCCCACATGGTGGAGTGCTAAGGGGGCATAGAAGCACAAGCCAAACAGTGGTAGTTTTAAAATATTCTAGCTATATTTAAATAATGGGACAACTGCTTAATTTTGCAAGCATCAATACAGGCCAACCTTGACTGGAAGGCAAAGACATTCTATGTTTGTAATATTTACCTGAGTATGAGCTTAGTCAGTAGACCCAGATTTGAACAAATTTCACTACTGAGAAGTCAGTAGGTACCACATTTAAACAGGGCATGCAAATGAAAGCTATTATTATTCTTCACTAATTGTTGAGTTTCCAAGTGACCTCAGTATTTTACTGTAAAAGACAGGAATAATGAATTATCTCAGGTTGAAACGTAAAATAAATGGGAGCATATCAGAGTATATTATAACTCAGAGTTCCTAAACTACACTGTAACTCCTGATTTTCCAATCATCCTTTGCTCTTTAGAGTTTTATAAAGCCTCTTCAGAAATAGTTTTGTGATTGTGTTTATTCTGCCTGTTGAAGAAACTGTGCAGTCATTAACAGCTCGGTTTGTTGAGGTAACACTGACAACATGACATTTGATATTAGACAAAAAATGTAAATTTGATGTTAGAAAGTTTTGCCAGGTAAAATATATCAGTGCTATACTATGAAATAATCTGTAAATAGTTCTTAAAACTGATATTAAAAAGTTATGGTAGTGCTATGCCTGCTACAGTGTTCTAAATGTCTTCTATAATAAGCAAGGAAATTCATAGTTTAATTTAATAGTGTAGCATGCCCTGAGGAGAGAAAAAGTATTTTCAACAAAGAGAAAACATCTGCAAAGACACTTATTTATAGAGCCATGTGATAAACAGACTCATGTGCTCATTAAGTTAAAAAAAATAACATTCTTTTCTGATGAATTAACAAAGCTACCATGTATCGTAACTTCATAAATCTGAGTTTCAAGATTTCTCATTTCAAGATTTCTCATGTATTTCTTTGGTTTTGCTTTCCTTTATGTATCAACCTTCTCAGTATTGTAACACAATTCACTATTCTGGTTTGAAAAGCAGTTAGATATGTTTTTAATTTCCACCACAAGCAAACTAAGCTTTGTTAACAAGTGGACTTTCTTCTGTGTAGCACTTTTAAATCAAAGATTGCAAAGGTTAGCATGAGGAGAATCTACACAGTCAGAGAACTGAAAAAAACCAAAATGACTATTTTTTATTTTATTTTCTTATGCAAGCATCACGGCTGAGATCCAGTTCTCCTACTCTGAAAGCTATTCTGAGTCAACAACACAGTAGACAACTTGGAGAAGTTGCAACAAATTAAAAATATGAATTCTTATTACTGCATCTTATACCTTACAAAAAGGTTCTGTTTCAAGAAAATTTTCACCAAAAGTTATTCAAAAAATACTTGCAAAACCACAATAACTAAAAAAATATGCTTTTTCCTTTGACTTTTCTGGACACCAAATATGCTGTCAGAAGGCAACTGGCTAAGCAACAACTAGCAGGGTCATACATGTTTGCAGATATAATGTTTAGAATTGTAGCCAGGAAAAAAAAATAGAAGAGTTCAATAAAAATAAGGTAGATAATTCTTAGTCTGAAGAACAAGAAAAAGTTTCTCACATGTTTGGACTTCTGCTAAGGGACAGTTTCTCAAGGAATACAATTGCAACTCTCATCCTGGGGCATTTAAAGTTCAAAAGCTGAATTACTCACAGTAAAGCACAGGCAGGGAGAGGGACTGCAAGGCCCAAAGACCCATCTTGTCTTCCATGACTTTACAGCAGAGTTACTAGATGTGAGGTCCAGTTCATCTCCCAGATTTAATGTAGAATCAGAATCAACTGTTACAGAATCACTAGTTTTTTAGACACGTTCCTCCTTCAGACATACCATAGCTTGGGTGAATGCAGCTCACTCAATAGGAAAGTCAGGCAAGTTTTGTGGGACAAGTATTATCTTCTACAAGACCACCTGACATAGTTGGAAAAAAAAGAAAACAACCAAGTTTAGGGCACACCATTATTTCTTCTGGTTTGAAAGGGCGAACAAAGGTTTGAACAAATGGATCCAAGTTTATTTTACCTATTTTTTAAAATTGCACAATTTGGAAGAAAAATGTAATTCCCCTATGGCAAGGGAGAGCCAATGAGGTAATTAATATGGCAAAGAACAACACAGAGAAACAGAACTGCTACTGGTAATATTAGAGGTTCTTGTGAAAGACAAAGAAAGAAATGATGTGGAAATGATTACAGATGTTAAAAAAAATTAAACACAACCATCATGGAATTCAAATGTCATGAGACACAAAATTGATTACTGTTTCCAAGAAAATATCAAGAGAAATAATTTTCTTGGTAATTCCATTCCAGATGAAAGAGTGATTTATTAACACTGAAGAATTGTACAATAACTGAGCCCTGAAACCACTCGGCAAATCATTTAACAGAGTTTGGCAAATAGTATCAGGAAATGCTTAAAAAATGTCTCTCCCCTTCAAGACACAAATCACTGCATTATGAGTCTGAGAAACTAAAAAATTCTTTTTGTTAGCATTAGTTATTATAAAGATGAACTATTCCAAATTTTATTTAATTTCAAGTTTTTCTACATTTTAAATTTATATCTTTTAATCTTCTTGTTTTATTTATTTTTCCCAGAGTTAAACAGTTGATCACATACCAACTACAGGAGCTGACATGGAAATGTAAGGTACAGCAGGAAGTGACATAAGTAATTCCTTAGGTAATCTCTGATCCTCTATCAGGGTCAAAGCATGAAATTTCTAATAAAACACTATTTCAGAAACTAACATTCTTCAGATGAGACTAAGATTCTTGTCCTAACAGCTTCAGTAAGTTTTAATAAGTTATTGGAAGAGATGCCCACTCCAATGTCAAGATATGAATCTCATGTAAAGGTGCATTTTTTGTCTCTCAGATCTTTGCACTGCAGTATCAACTAGGCATTATGCATTAATTCATGTCCTAACAAGTCATGTTGCTGACATACAGCAGTTTGTTCCACCCCAAAGGGGGGGAAGGGGAGGGGGGGAGCAAAAAACCTCAAGTGCATCATAAATTATTTAATAAATATATCTTGAGATGAAGGGTACATACAGAATGCAAGATAAAGAGACATCTTAAAGGAAAAATGGCTTACAATATGTACTGTTACAAGTATAATCAAAGCCTAGCTAGGCCTTCAAAGACTGAAGTCATACAAACACAACCTCAGAAAGTCCTTCTGCACTACTCCTGAAAGCTGTGTAATGGAGGTATGCTCCATGGTAAATCTTACTTTATTGCTCTGTAATGGCAGTATTTTTCAATGTTGTACTTACCAGTGCTAACACCATTCAATAAAATCATTTAGTACTAAATAGTGCTGTGTGAGAAACACCAAATAGCACCATGACCAGGAAGGACACCTGTCAAACATGTCAAACACTGTTTCCCTTATATACTCATCTTATAATGTGAACTCTGATTATATTTATATTCTGTTGCTATAAATTAGTTTCCTCTAATCGATATGAAAAGTTGAAGTTTTTCTATGACTTTTCTCTTTCCACAGAGCTTTGCTCAGATAGTCATTGGTCCATGACTGATATTATTCCACTGAAAGCACATTATCATTGAATAAACACGAGCTGCCAGAAATTGTGGATTTGCACAGAGGCATTGGGAAATCTGTGAGTAGGCTTTATTATGTGTAAGACGGACTGCACAAAGAAACACTACTCAATGAGCCAAAACTTAAGATCTTAAGAGTTGCTTAAGAGTGAATACATTTTGAGAATACAGATCTCTAGGCTTTGCTAATATGAAAACCTTATTTGAAGTATAGTTTAGCTATGATAACTTCATTATGAAAAATGTTTGTTTTATAAAGATTAGGTATTCATTAAAAAGAGTTCTTTCTACAAGTATCAAATACCTATTTGTATTACTTAAATAGACTGTAAACCAACAATGTAATTTTTCTTACTAAAACCAGGTTAGAGGTACTGTAAGGGTCCTGCAAGACACTAGAGAATACCTCAACATCTTAATTCTTCTTTTTACTCTTTTCCAATTCTTCACTGACATGCTTGTGCACAACAGCCTTCTATTTGCCTTTTTTTTCTTTGTTATACATTTTCAGCTTGTACATCTCTCTGTAACTGAGTCAACTGGTTTTTAACACATACTTAATTAATAATGTGAGAATGATGGATGCAGTTGCATTTTACAAGTTCCTGGAAAGCTGTGGAGTTTTGATGACCTAACATTCATCGCAGACCTACACTTCTTTTGGCATTAGTTTTCTAACCAGAACTTGTTGGATAGGATTCCAACAAGCAGAGTGAACTCACATTGCAAACATCATCCTGAAATTTGTGCTTGGTAGTTAGTATGTCATATGTGTGGAATATTTGTGTGGTGAAAACAGTTTACTCATTTGGCACAAAAAGAGATGATAATGCCATTCATCAGAAAAACATACAGATGGCAGTTGGATTGTTCATATTCTATATTCTCTCTCTCAAGTAAAGTTGTCTTGTTTGCTTTTCATGATGATTCATCTGATGCTGCCTGGTGGGCAACTACAGTGCTAAAAGCCCTGTGGGCACAGAGAACACAGCCTGGCAGGCATAGCAGGACTTCTCTGATGTCCAAATTCACACTTTCAGTAAAAGCTAACACATTTCCAAATGCATTCTTGTCTATTCTGACTGCCTTTCCTGAGATGTCTCTGACATCTTTAGTCCTGTTTTCATCTGGAAACATTTTATGCTTCTGTTCGAACATCAGTTAATAAATCTCGTAAATCTCTTTCGAAAGAAGGATCATTCTGAAGACATTTCTTGAATTTACTGTATCTATTCTCTTGCTTGGTGTATGTTCAGTATGAGATCAGGAAAATCTGGAAGACTCACTGATTGACAGACTGACAAATTCTACCTAATTAGTACTCACCAGATTTAGCCCATCATCTTCAGCACTACAAGCAATATTCTAGCAATGTAAGATCTTCCTTTTCTAATTCTAACTACCTGAAGATCTGCAAGAGTCAAAAAGAATTATTCAATGGTATTATGTCTCTCAACAAGTTTAAAGCTACATCAAACCTGAAGTGAAAAAGGGATGGGATATAAACTACTCAAAAATTAAGCATGATATAAAAAAAGAGTGGATGTACAAGAAAAATAACATTATGGAGCAGAATTTGCATTCTGAATGCTATCTTGGAAAAAAACCAAAACTGTGAAAGATTATTGCGCTCCAAAAACATCTGCCAAACAATACAAATTACTTATTTAAGATAGGTTCACTTCAGAAGCAGTTTATCACCACCTGTAGTACTAGACTAAATAGGAGTAAATTTTTTTAAAATAACCCACACTTAAAAAGGCTTTCTCCCAGTTAGTTCCAACTAGTTTTTTTTCATGAAACCAAAACAACAAAAAAATTGTTTTAATACACTGCCATATAACAAACAGGTAATGTACCTACCAACCTATATTGTTTCAGTATCAGACATACAAAAACATATTTGCTGTGGTTAAGCCAGAAATCAAAACACAAAATGGCTTGTCCTATACAGCACAGGAGATCTACAAGAAAGGCAGGAATAAAATTCAATTCTTGCAAAAGAATTAATAACCACATCATCCTCTTTAGGAATTGCCTGTAGTAAAAAAACTTAATACAGACTCCTTTTTTTCTTTTCAAAAAAAAGCTCTAACGTAGGAGCAAACGCTTCTTTCTGAGTTTTTGAAATGCTTTCAGCTTTATGCTTGCCTAAATGGGAACAGAAGTTGCCCTATAAGTTTTAGAAATACTTGGCTAGACACCAAACACTGAACTTATGTAAGACCGTATAATCACCTGACACTTGTAGCTGCCTCGCTGATTTTCCAAGAATTTTAATCCTATTTTCCTGAAACTATCCCTTTAGTGAGAAAATATGTTTATTCTATTACTTATATGCTTGCTTTGCAGACAAACAGTTTCATTTATCAAACAGGAGAATAATATTTTCCATTCTCAAACATCACAAATCAAGAGATTCCTTTATACAGCAAAGTACAAAGCGTGGCTTGTCATATACAAGGGCCATTCCTCAACTGTGCACTCCCAGGCTGCTTTTACACATTTAAAAGCCTTTCTACAGAATAATGAAGCTTCTCAGCTCTTCCCTTCTGCCAAGCAGCCAGACCATTCATGCCAGGAAGTAATGCACATGGCTGGTGCACTGCAATTAGGACACTGTGCAAAGAGCAGACCAGAGACGGCTGCTTGATGTTTGGAGGCAGAAGTAACATGAACTTTTATTATCAGAGATTTTGGTTTTATAGAATGTTTAAATATGTAACTAACCTACTCACTTTGCTTTAATTTGATTTTTATGTTAGATAAACTCCTTAGCCCCATGAAGTCAATGGAAGTTTCAACTTCAGACTTCGCAACTATGTGACTATACAATTGGAGCTGTTAATTAAAAATGATTCTGGTGTCTGTTTTTCACATTTGTAATTTACACTTACATCCTTTTTAATAATTAAATGTCCTAAAGTGACAAAAAATGTATTAAGAAGTGTATAAACCATGAATTGCGGGAAGTTGGAACAATACTCTAGGGAATTACTACTTCAAAAAGGATTATGGCATGCTTTTCTTACAACAACGGAATAACAGATTGGTTTAGACTGGAAGGGACTTCTGGAGGTCTTTGGTCCACTCTCTGATTGAGGAGAGTTACCTACAGCAGGTTGTTCAGGCCATATTTGCTCAGGTTTTTAATATTTCCAAGGATGAAGACTCAACAAGACGTCTGGACAACCCGTTCCAGAGTTTGACCACCCTCAAAGTAAAAATTATTTTCCTTATTTTTTATTTCGGTTTGTGCTCATTGCCCCTTGTTCTGTAACTTCTTTGCAGTGGTGTCACCTTGTACTTGTACATATATTGGCAGAATATTTGGAAATCTCCACT